AATGGAAAATGGACACTTATTGCAATGGAAAATGGGAACTTGTCGAAGGAAAAGGGGCACGTGTCAAAATAAAAGGGGCACTTATCAGAGTAAAAGGAGCACTATTCCTATGTAAAAAGGGGCACTTTTCGGGTGCTTGAAAAAGTGGGGGGGGGGGCACTGTGCCCCTACTCCCCCCCCCCCCCAGGAGTGCGGCCTCTGCTGGGGAGTATTCCTACCATTATGGTCACCGTGGAGGCATAGGCATGACTAACACAAACTAACACGGTAAAGAGTTAATATTCCAGTTTATAGACTATGTACATGGCGCTATATAGGATGGTGAAAAGTTAGCGTAGGGTGGTGAAAAATTAAGAGTGCAGTTTATCCATAGACAATGTACATTGCGCTGTAGGGTGGTGAAAAGTTAGCGTAGGGTGGTGAAGAGTTAATATTCCACTTTATCCATAGACAATGTAGCCTACATGACGCTAGGGTGGTGAAAAGTTAGCGTAGGGTGGTGAAGAGTTAATAATCCATAGACAATGTACATGACGGTAGGGTGGTGAAAAGTTAGCGTAGGGTGGGGAAAAATTAATATTCCAGCTTATCCATAGACAATGCACATGACGGTAGGGTGGTGAAAAGTTAGCGTAGGGTGGTGAAGAGTTAATATTCCACTTTATCCATAGACAATGTACATGACGCTAGGGTGATGAAAAGTTAGCGTAGGGTGGTGAAGAGTTAATATTACCATTTATCCATAGACAATGTACATGGCGCTAGGGTGGTGAAAAGTTAGCGTAGGGTGGTGAAAAATTAATATTCCAGCTTATCCATAGACAATGTACATGGCGCTAGGGTGGTGAAAAGTTAGCGTAGGGTGGTGAAGAGTTAATATTACCATTTATCCATAGACAATGTACATGGCGCTAGGGTGGTGAAAAGTTAGCGTAGGGTGGTGAAAAATTAAATATTCCAGTTTATCCATAGATAATGTACATGGCGCTAGGGTGGTGAAAAGTTAGCGTAGGGTGGTGAAGAGTTGATAATCCATAGACAATGTACATGACGGTAGGGTGGGGAAAAATTAATATTCCAGCTTATCCATAGACAATGCACATGACGGTAGGGTGGTGAAAAGTTAGCGTAGGGTGGTGAAGAGTTAATATTACCATTTATCCATAGACAATGTACATGGCGCTAGGGTGCGGTGAAAAGTTAGCGTAGGGTGGTGAAGAGTTCATATTACCATTTATCCATAGACAATGTACATGACGCTAGGTCGGTGAAAAGTTAGCGTAGGGTGGTGAAGAATAAATATTCCACTTTATCCATCGACAATGTACATGACGCTGATGTGGTAAAGAGTTAATATTCCAGCTTATCCATAGATAATGTACATGGCGCTGTTGGGTGGAGAAAAGTTAGCGTAGGGTGGTGACGAGTTAATATTCCAGTTTATCCATAGACAATGTACATATGACGCTAGGGTTGTGAAGAGTTAATATTCCAGCTTATCCATAGATAATGTACATGGCGCTAGGGTGGTGAAAAGTTAGCGTAGGGTGGTGAAGAGTTAATATTATCATTTATCCATAGACAATGTACATGACGCTAGGGTGGTGAAAGTTAGCGTAGGGTGGTGAAGAGTTAATATTCAGCTTTATCCATAGACAATGTACATGACGCTAGGGTGGTGAAAAGTTAGCGTAGGGTGGTGAAGAGTTAATATTACCATTTATCCATAGACAATGTACATGGCGCTAGGGTGGTGAAAAGTTAGCGTAGGGTGGTGAAAAATTAATATTCCAGCTTATCCATAGACAATGTACATGGCGCTAGGGTGGTGAAAGTTAGCGTAGGGTTGTGAAGAGTTAATATTCCAGCTTATCCATAGATAATGTACATGACGGAAGGGTGATAGCGTAGGGTGGTGAAGAGTTAATATTATCATTTATCCATAGACAATATACATGGCGCTAGGGTGGTGAAAAGTTAGCGTAGGGTGGTGAAGAGTTAATATTATCATTTATCCATAGACAATGCACATGACGCTAGGGTGATGAAAAGTTAGCGTAGGGTGGTGAAGAGTTAATATTCCAGTTTATCCATATTTAGACAATGTACATGACGCTAGGGTGGTGAAAGTTAGCGTAGGGTGGTGAAGAGTTAATATTCAGTTTTATCCATAGACAATGTACATGACGCTAGGGTGGTGAAAAGTTAGCGTAGGGTGGTGAAGAGTTAATATTATCATTTATCCATAGACAATATACATGGCGCTAGGGTGATGAAAAGTTAGCGTAGGGTGGTGAAGAGTTAATATTCCAGTTTATCCATAGACAATGTACATGACGCTAGGGTGGTGAAAGTTAGCGTAGGGTGGTGAAGAGTTAATATTCAGTTTTATCCATAGACAATGTACATGGCGCTAGGGTGGTGAAAAGTTAGCGTAGGGTGGTGAAGAGTTAATATTCCAGTTTATCCATAGACAATGTACATGACGCTAGGGTGGTGAAAAGTTAGCGTAGGGTGGTGAAGAGTTAATATTCCAGCTTATCCATAGATAATGTACATGACGGAAGGGTGATAGCGTAGGGTGGTGAAGAGTTAATATTATCATTTATCCATAGACAATGTACATGGCGCTAGGGTGGTGAAAAGTTAGCGTAGGGTGGTGAAGAGTTAATATTCCAGTTTATCCATAGACAATGTACATGACGCTAGGGTGGTGAAAGTTAGCGTAGGGTGGTGAAGAGTTAATATTCAGTTTTATCCATAGACAATGTACATGACGCTAGGGTGGTGAAAAGTTAGCGTAGGGTGGTGAAGAGTTAATATTACCATTTATCCATAGACAATGTCCATGACGGTAGGGTGGTGAAAAGATAGCGTAGGGTGGTGAAGAGTTAATATTACCATTTATCAATAGACAATGTATACATGGCGCTAGGGTGGTGAAGAGTTAGCGTAGGGTGGTGAAGAGTTAATATTCCACTTTATCCATAGACAATGTAGCCTACATGACGCTAGGGTGGTGAAAAGTTAGCGTAGGGTGGTAAAAAATTAATATTCCACTTTATCCATAGACAATGTACATGACGCTAGGGTGGTGAAAGTTAGCGTAGGGTGGTGAAGAGTTAATATTCCACTTTATCCATAGACAATGTACATGACGCTAGGGTGGTGAAAAGTTAGCGTAGGGTGGTGAAAACTTAATATTCCAGTTTATCCATAGACAATGTACATGACGCTAGGGTGGTGAAAAGTTAGCGTAGGGTGGTGAAGAGTTAATATTCCACTTTATCCATAGACAATGTAGCCTACATGACGCTAGGGTGGTGAAAAGTTAGCGTAGGGTGGTGAAGAGTTAATAATCCATAGACAATGTACATGACGGTAGGGTGGTGAAAAGTTAGCGTAGGGTGGGGAAAAATTAATATTCCAGCTTATCCATAGACAATGCACATGACGGTAGGGTGGTGAAAAGTTAGCGTAGGGTGGTGAAGAGTTAATATTCCACTTTATCCATAGACAATGTACATGACGCTAGGGTGATGAAAAGTTAGCGTAGGGTGGTGAAGAGTTAATATTACCATTTATCCATAGACAATGTACATGGCGCTAGGGTGGTGAAAAGTTAGCGTAGGGTGGTGAAAAATTAATATTCCAGCTTATCCATAGACAATGTACATGGCGCTAGGGTGGTGAAAAGTTAGCGTAGGGTGGTGAAGAGTTAATATTACCATTTATCCATAGACAATGTACATGGCGCTAGGGTGGTGAAAAGTTAGCGTAGGGTGGTGAAAAATTAAATATTCCAGTTTATCCATAGATAATGTACATGGCGCTAGGGTGGTGAAAAGTTAGCGTAGGGTGGTGAAGAGTTGATAATCCATAGACAATGTACATGACGGTAGGGTGGTGAAAAGTTAGCGTAGGGTGGGGAAAAAATTAATATTCCAGCTTATCCATAGACAATGCACATGACGGTAGGGTGGTGAAAAGTTAGCGTAGGGTGGTGAAGAGTTAATATTACCATTTATCCATAGACAATGTACATGGCGCTAGGGTGGTGAAAAGTTAGCGTAGGGTGGTGAAGAGTTCATATTACCATTTATCCATAGACAATGTACATGACGCTAGGTCGGTGAAAAGTTAGCGTAGGGTGGTGAAGAATAAATATTCCACTTTATCCATCGACAATGTACATGACGCTGATGTGGTAAAGAGTTGAGATTTTTAAAAATATATCCATAGAAAATATGTACATGACGGTGACATAATGGTGAATAGTTTCTGTGATTTGGTATTTAAAGAGTCAATGCCCTTTTCCCAGAGAAGGCATATTTATTTATTTATTTATTTATGCATGCATGCATGCATGTTCACAATTCATTGAAGTTAACATCACATGAAAAATGAATATAAAATAATATAACAAATCATTTCAATTTTACAATCCATTTGAATTGACTTCACATGAAAAAGAATATAACAATGATTTATCATAGACACGTTGCAACCAATATACAGTTTGAAGAAAGAACACACAAAGGTGATGAAACATAAGCAAATAGAGCTTGAATCGTGTACCACCTTTCAAATATATAACATATGACAAATAAAATTCATGCATGACTTATAATTTTGGTGCGGGGATATATTGCAATTCAAAAGAAGATAATAACTTTTTAATTTCTAACATACGTGAGGTGAGGTCTTAGTATAATTCTTTGATTTGCCCCTAAGTACTGCGCTTTACCCCCCCCCCCCCCCCCTCCATCATCTACTCTCATTATATCCGACCACCATGCCTATTTTAATTGGTAGCCAGCCATCGTTGCACTGATCATGCCTGACGGATACAATACACAAAGAATATATTGCGTGTGTGTAGTATAGCGGTTGTATGTGTACAATGCGATCCTTACACTTATCAAATTGGCAATTTTTACACGTTGGATGGGCTACCTTCATCTCCGATTAGGTGTGTGAAGAAAAGCTTCACCCTGAAGACGGAGCTGGAGTTAAAGAAAATGGGACGGCATCAAATTATACATTTGCTTCGAAAGAAGCTTGTGAACAAGTACATGATTTGGGACAGATGTTCATCATTTTTAGCTGTATCAAGCAACGTTCAAAGATCTGTTCGGCATGCTTCTGAAAAAAGGTGAGAATTTTGAATTAGAAGTTACGGTCATTTCCCCGGACGTCCCCGGTGGATTTTATGGGAAAAGGGGGAGGGACGAGATCCAGCCGTCAGCTGACCCAGACGGTCAGCGACCTGAAGCTGAGGATAGTTGATTATCACACGTCCACCATTCACAGACTTTAGTCTTTAGACTATGTCATTCCAGTTTAATTTAAAATCACTGGTACAGAAATCGGCTTAACTTGAAATACAAATGCTTGTGATGTTGATTATTTCTAAACTGGAAGTTTTGGGGTTTGAACTTAGTTTGAGTGGGTTAGCGAGGGTTAATTTTTAGTTACATCATCCATGAAGGGTTTCAGTCAGACAACCCCCCCCCCCCATCATTTGTATTCTCGATAGATCTAGACACTAGAGATCTGAATGAACATGGTCCTGATCCCCTATTAGAAAACATTTTTGGGGGTATAGTCTATGTGATAGCCGGGGTCCAGACAACTCGCCACAAAGACAACCCGCCCCAAGACAACCCGCCACAATACCCTGGACATCTCGCCACAATGCCTTTTCGGACAACTCGCCACACTTGTTTTCCCCTCATGATTTCTAGATCTAAAATGAAATGGATTTGTAATTTTTCATGATTTTCGTGCTTTTATAAACACAGTCATTACAAAGAATAAAGAATATAGCTGATTTCCCTTGTAACAATAATATAATTTTGACAAACCAAAAGTTGTCCGGGGTGGGGTGCCTTTTCGGACAACTCGCCACACTTTTTTCCCCTCATAATTTCTAGATCTAAAATGAAATGAAATTGTCATTTTCATGATTTCCGTGCTTTTATAAACACAGTCATTACAAAGAATAAAGAATAAAACTGATTTCCCCTGAACAATAATATACTTTTGACAAACCAAAGGCGTACGACCAGGGCGTACGATCGCCAGAGCATTGGGATAACTTCTCGGTTAGATCTAGAGGTCTATAACAGCTGCATTTTTCTGTCCCAGAAATTTGTTAATGTTAGGATACTGGAAGCACTTGCGTACTGATAGGGGGGGGGGGGGGGGGGGTTGGGCAGTTGACCCGCGAAATAAAATTGGAAAGTGGTTTATTTATAGATTTTCTGGGTTAGTTTCGTCAGAGGCGGCATTCTTCATTGGGGGGGGGGCACTGTGCCCCCACTTTTCCAGGTTCCCCTAAAGTGCCCCCTTATCCTTTGTTCATGTCCTTTTCCTTCTGATAATTTTTAATGGTAGGAATTCATGGAAGGATAGGCCTACTGGAAGCACTGGCGTACTGATGGGGAGGGGGCAGTTAACCCGCGAAATAAAATTAAAATGTGGTTTATTTCTAGATTTTCTGGGTTAGTTTCGCACTTTTGCCCACAGTCAGAGGCGGCATTCCCGGAGGGTGAGCCCCCTGGAATATTCCCCACCCCTCACCCAACCCAATCCCAAAGTGCTTCCGGCACGCCAAACTGGTTGCGATGTCAGGAATGCTCGTCCCGGCCTCTTTGGTATTCCTGGCAGTGACAACAAATATATTCCCCACTGAAATAAAGTATTGCTCTACTATACTGCTACTATACTACTACTTCTACTACTACTACTACTACTTCTACTACTACTACTACTACTACTACTACTTCTACTACTACTACTAATAATAATAATCGTAATCGTAATCGTAACTAGTAGTCGTACGCCTGGCTTGGGTTTGTCCGAAATAGATTCTTGTTGCGGGTCTTGTTGCAAGCGCAAGGAAAATCATCTTTATTCTTTAGAACAGCTCTCAAAATACTCATAATTTCTATGTTTCCTGTCATGACTGTGTTTATAAAAGCACGAAAATCATGAAAAATGACAATTTCATCTAAGATGAGGGATTTTAGATCTAGAAATCATGAGGGGAAAAAAGTGTGGCGAGTAGTCCGAAAAGGCATCCCACCCTGGACAACTCGCCTGTGGCGAGTTGTCCAGGGTATTGTAGCGGGATGTCCAGGGTATTGTGGCGGGTTGTCTTGGAGCGGGTTGTCTTTGTGGCGAGTTGTCTGGTAATCGTGATAGCCCCCCTCCCCCCCCCCCCCCCCCCCCCCCCACCAAAAAAAAAAAAAAAGTATCTAATTTCCCTAGGAATTGTAAAATTGATGTCAAGAAACATCCATCCAAAATTTCATTTATAAATCAATCATTTCAATAATTGTGTGTTATATATCTTCACAGCTCCTCGGGATCTCCACCAAGTAACGATTTTGACGTGTGCATCGTTGGAGGTGGGATAGTCGGCTTGGCTACAGCTCAGGAGCTCATCTGGAGGCAGCCCAATCTCAAACTTGCAGTGGTGGAGAAGGAAGCCGAGCTTTGTAAGTATTGATTCATATTCAAAAAGAGGAGATTATCTGTTGAGAGTCAGAAGGGCATTAATTCATATACTTCAATAACATAAGAATAACACCCTTCTGGCTCTCAACAGATTACATATTTGAAGGTGATATTGAGCACTGGTCATGAATTTAATTGAAGAAGAAAAAAATGAAGATAAAAACAAACCAACTAATTAAACAACAACAAACAAAGAAGCAAATGTATGGTACCACAATCCAGGTATGTTCAAAGAGTATTCTATGGAACAGGGCCAGTTCCACAACCATCTATGGTTAATTTGCCATTACTGGTAACTTCCATGGAAACTTTGATTCAATTTGCTTTAGAGTGATGTTGCCATTGTTCTTAATATTGATGGCCAAGTTACCATCAATTATAGTTTTATACAACGGAGCCCAAGACTGGTATAACTAAAGCTAAACTTTGTTTATTTGTAGGAAATTGGTTCTCATTTGATTTGGCATAAATGAACTCATCAACAGTTATACATGTATACATTACTTTGAACTTTGACCTTTCAGCCTTACATCAGAGTGGTCACAACAGTGGTGTTATCCATGCCGGAATCTACTACACGCCCGGATCTCTCAAGGCTAAGCTATGTGTGGAGGGCTTGGAGCTGGCCTACAAGTATCTTGACGAGCACAATCTTCCCTACAAAAAATGTGGAAAGGTATGCAGGCATTCATGTACAATAGGCGGTTAACTTCACATAGTTCTGGTAATGATAAAATGAAAATTTCTTACAGAATGTAATGTATCAACATTTTTTTTGCTGAATCTTTTAAACTACTTGAAACTAGAAAAAAAAATGCATCTGAAATATATGTTAAATAATTAGATACATTCATTACGGAAAAATTATCATCAGGGGAGGGAGATGATGAAGTGGAGGACTAATGGATGAAAAACATGTCAGAAAAAATTGCCTAGGTGTACAAAGTTGCAAAAAGACATTGTTGCTTCATGTAACTGTGACTGCTATTTGAATTCCGAATGATAAATGTTTGATAAAGCTGATTGATTTTATATTTCCATTTTTTAGCTCATTGTTGCAAGTAATGAAGAAGAGCTACACTGAACATGGACCAGGGGCTCTCCAAAACTGCAAAAGGCCGTCGATTTCTATAGTTATGAATGCCATTTGAATTCCGTATAATAGAAGTAATAATAATAATTTAGTGGGTTCTTGTATCTTAGGGCTCATGTCTGTCAGACTTGACACTCCAACTGCGGAATCTAATCTACTGAAACCAATTGATTTCTTATTTCATAATTTTTCCTAGCTCATTGTTGCACGGAATGAAGAGGAGCTACCCAGACTAGATGCTCTCCATAAAAGAGGACTAGAAAACGGTGTGAAGGGACTAAGGATAATGAATTCAGATGAGATCAAAGAAGTCGAACCGTATTGCAAGGTACAATTTGTTCAGTGTGTGAGATTTTTCCCTCAAAACACCTGTAAGTCTTGAGTTTGTGAACATCTCATTGAAATAATTGTTACAACATTACCACAAGTTTGAAGTTGATGTCTGTGAATTTCATATACATGTTGTTTTTGTTAAAAGGTCATTAATATTTAACGAGTTTAAAACTTGGTTATTGGGGAAGTACTGATCATCATACGTCAATCTAGTCATCTATGCGCGTGCATTCAGCCAATATGCAGGTCAAAGACCTGGAGAATTATTTACTTACACATGTAGTAAAGTAAATCTGCATAATTGTATCCCCCGGCAGTATGCCGGTGGGGTACTTTGGATTCAGCAGCGTTACGCCGCCGCCGCCGCCGCCGCGTCATATTCTTGTGTGCGCTCTAACTGCCACATTTCTTGATGGATTTCTTTCAAATTTTGTATGGAGGTGTATCCTGGTATAATCTACATACCTATAACTTTTGGTGATGCTGCCCCCAGTGTTCCGTCTTCTATAGGGTACAAGGCCATATTTTTGTGGATGGTTTGTGTGCGCTCTATAGGCCACATTTTTAAAGGGATTTTGTTCAAATTTTGAATGAAGGTGTATCTTGGTATAGTCTACAAGCCTATAGATTTTAGTGATGCTGCCTCCAATGTTCCGTCTTTTATAGGGTCAAAGGTCATATTTTGATAGATGTCTTGTGTGCACTCTAGTGTACTGCTGCCCCCAGTGTTCCGCCTTCTATAGGGTACAAGGCCATATTTTTGTTTGTGTGCGCTCTATAGGCCACATTTCTAAAGGGATTTTGTTCAAATTTTGAACAAAGGTGTATCTTGGTATAATCTACAAGCCTATAGATTTTAGTGATGCTGCTTCCAATGTTCCATCTTTTATAGGGTCAAAGGTCATATTTTGATAGATGTCTTGTGTGCACTCTAGTGTGCGCTCTAACTGCCACATTTCTCTACGGATTTCTTTCAAATTTTGTATGGAGGTGTATCCTGGTATAATCTACATACCTATTGTTTTGGTGATGCTGCTCCTAGTCTTGACAATAGTCTGAGCCACTTGCGGCAATTTCTACGTCATCCTTTTGTTTCACAAAGAGGAGAGGGAATCTTTGTCCCTCCTTCCACATAAGGATAACACAAAATCGCTGCCACTGCCGGGGGATACATTCGCATTGCGCGGCAATACAGATTGCGATATTTCTAGTTATAGCAGGTGTTTTTGAAACTATGAAATTCTTTCATATCCCTTTAATTTCTTTCCTTTTGTATGAAAAGAATGATATTCATTGAAATAAAAAAAATTGTCTGTTTGTTGCATGTTATTCTTGTAGTTTTTTTCTTCTGTTGCTTGTTTATAAATGCCCATTGTTTAACTGGAATAACATCAGATTTACATGTTCATGTATGTATGTACTGGTACATGTATTTATGGGTGTATACATGTAATGTACTTAAGGGAGGTTGTTTGTGTGTATATACGTAGGTATATATTATTAATTTATATAATTTGTTTTCTTGTACTGGCTCTATTTGATTTAGGGTTTAAAAGCCATCCACTCTCCTAACACCGGGATCGTTGATTGGGGTCAAGTAGCGCGACACTACGGCAAGAATTTTGAGCGGCTTGGAGGTAGTGTCTTCACTAACTTTGAGGTTAGCAACTTCATTACGACAAGAGAGGGCAAGGCTGGCAGCAAAGATGGTAATAATTTGTAAATTAATTAATTAATTATTGATTTCATTATGTCATTACTTTGAATTACTCTTTGATATTATAAACTGCATGTTCTGGTATGGTACAATGTATGTTTATACAATTAATTTTTTTTTAAAGAAAGTAAAGTGGAAAATTCTATGAAATACTGTGGGCTCTATACAGATGGTCACTTAAACCAGTTCTACAGTATAATTGAGCAGAATCAGGGGCCGGTTGCATAAACTTTAACAACAGTGATAATTTTGCCATCAGTATTAACTACTATAGCGACATCACTCAACAGCCAATAAAATCAAGGTTTCGATGGAAGTAACCATTTTAATGGCAAAGTTACCATCAATATAGGTTTATGAAACAGGGCCCAAATCAGTATTTGTACTTTAAAACACAGTTTTAGTGGGATGGTTTCAATGCTGCAGTAGATATTCAAAGGAAGAAATCATAGATTGAAAAGACTGACTTCCTGAATATTGATAAAGACTTTCATCAATAAGCTCTTCATCTTCTACTTTGGCCTTCATAAGATTAATTTGAATGCCTTGTTCACCCATTTTCATTTTCATATGAAACATTTGAATATTAAGTTTCTAGTGATTAACGGTTTCCCCAAATCTGAAAGCTTTCCTGTAGTCCTGCTACTTGTATGTATATGGAAAGCATGGGGGTGATGAAATAGCTTTGTAGAATATAATCACAACACAATTCTTCATACAATGACCATAGAACATTTCTCTTGCACATGTACAGTTCATATGTCGAAATGTAGTTGAATACGTAAACACATGGTGTCAAATATCATAGCAATTATAATTCAATAGCCTGTTATCATTTGTGTTTTCTAGGTTTACAACACCCTGTGACGCTGCAAGCCAAATCTGGTGTAAGTATACATACAAAATGACAGCTGTGTACATGCTAATGAACAAAAATACAATGTCAAAATTAAGATTTACTTAATAAATCGCAATAACGCAAACATTTCTGTATAGCAAAGACATAGGAGAGTCAACAGCTAAGAAATTGGTAGCAGCATCTCACTGATGTCTTCATTATCTTTTTTGTTTTGCCTCTACCTTATATAACACTTTTAACAAAGCTATATTCAGTTGATTTCAAATAATCTTCTGTTGGAAGAATTTCATATACCGGTATTTAAGATAAAGTAAGGTCATACAACACTTCCTTGTTACTGTAACATCTTATGACCTCAACTTTGTAAGGACTTGTGAAACCCCTCATAAATGAGACAATGTGCAAATTGATCTATATGTATATAAACATGTGAATATGTTAAAATGTACCATCATTGTAAATATGAACGATTGAAAGAGGAAAAATAAATTAATTAAATGAATTGCATATATTTATAAGAGTAATACACCTCACATTTGTGTAGCTTATATGCACAGATCATCAAATAATTGTATGCATAGAACCACCTCCTCCAAAACATTTTCTCTTGCCATTCATTTTAACACTTTGAGATTTGGCACAGTAATGTTTTTTTTTTTTTTTTTTCATGTTTTTTTGTTTAGTCATGGCTGAATGGGGCTTTAAATATAAAATAAAATAAAAGTAAGATTCAACACATTGTTTTCTTGTAACAGAAATCTCTGAGGTGCAGGTACGTGGTGACCTGCGCTGGCCTCTACTCGGATCGTGTAGCTGAGATGTCAGGCTGTAGCAAGATTCCTAAGATCGTACCGTTCAGAGGAGACTACCTCCTACTCAAAGCAGAGAAGAACTACCTCGTCAATGGCAATATCTATCCTGTGAGTCAATAAGCTGTCACAATCTATGATGTGATATTATATTTTATATTTTCG